AAAAAAAAAAAAAAAAAAAAGAACCCCCCCAAAAATAAATAAATAAATAAAAGGCTTTGTCCCAGTTAACAAATACCAATAATACAGTGGAGGAAGTGTTTTAGGAAGCATGGGGCCTCTTCTGTGTCCTTGAATTCTGCCTCTTAGGTATCTGCTCATTCTGTAAGACCATAAAGCCAGCTCTGCCAATGGATATTTTAAAGGAAAAGTGACATTTTGAATAGGAGTTGCATTTTATTGCAGAATCATTTGTCAAAGTTCCAATGTATAATTTGAAATTATGAGCTCATCTGCTTAGCCAGGAGCAAGGCAGTGAAGTGTTAAGATTCTGCAACAGTTTCAAATGAAAAGGAGGCAGGTTATATGCTCTGAGAATATCTAAAAGCATGCACCACTGCCACTGCTGTTATGTGGTAGTGATGGCCATAATACAGCTACAAAGCCTACTGGCCCTAAAACTTTCAGAAGATATTGGAGCCTAATACCATTTATGAAAATTAACCCAAAATAGACCATTGACCTAAATGTAAGAACTAAAACCACAAAACTCTTAAAACAACACATAGGAGTAATGCTTCAGAACCTAGTTTTCGGTAATGAGTTCTTAGATATGTCACCAAAAGTACAAACAACAAAAGATAAAATAAATAAATTAGACTGCATCAAAATAAAAAAAAAAAAAAAATGTGCATCAAAGAACTTTATCAACAAAGTGAAAAAACAACCTCCAGAATGGGAAAAATATTTGGGACCCATATGTCTGAAAAGGGTTTAATATCCTGAATATATAAAGAATTCAACAACAAAAAGACAAACAACCCAGTAAAAAACTGAGTGAAGGACTTGAATAGACATTACATCAAAAAAGGTAATCAAATGGACAATAAGCACTACAAATGGCCAATAAACACAAGAAAAGATGCTCAACATCGTTAGCCATTAGGGAAAACAAAGATCGAAACCACAATGACAATGACATACCACTTCACCCCCACCAGGGATGGAGAAATTGGAGCCCTCATCTACTGTTGGTAGGATTGCAAAATGGTAAGTCACTGTGGAAGACAATTTGGTTATTCCTCAAAGAGGTAAACATAAATTATCATATGATCCAGCAATTCCATTCCTAGGTATATACTCGAAAGAATTGAAAGCAGGGACTCAAACAGATACTTGTACGCCAGTGTTCACTGTAGCATTATTCACCATAACCAATAGGTGAAAACAACTAAAGTATCTATGAACAGATGAAAGGATGAATGAAATATGTTATATCCATGCAATGGAATATTATTCAGCCATATAAAGAAATAAATTCTCATAAATACTGCCACATAGATGAACCTTGAGAACATTATGCTAAATGAAATAAGTCAGACACAAAAGGACAAATATTGTATGATCTCACTTACATGAAATATCTAGAATAAGAAAATGCACAGAGAGCTAAGTTTGTTAGTGGTTACCAGGGCCTGGTAGGAGGACAAATGAGGAGTTACTGCTTAAGGGGTACTGAGTTTCTGTTAAGAGTGATGAAAAAAAAAAGCTGGAAATGAATAATGGTGAAAGGTTGTACAACATGTTGGATGTAATTAAGGTCACTGAACTGTACATGTAAAAATGGTTAAAATGGCAGATGTTTTATTATATATATTTTATCACCATACAATTTTTAAAAAAAATTTTTTAAAGGAAATATAGCAGGATGGGAGAAGGGGCCACTAACCACCATATTACCACAGCCTTAAGTAAGAACTGTGTTTCACCGCTCCCCAGGTCTTTGGCTCCTCTGGGGTTATGTTAGACCTAAACGTTTTTAAAAAACTTTTGACTGTTAGCTATATATACCTTTGTTAGTTTTCAAATTCATCGTTCTTGTGCTACCTTGAAGAATAGGTACATATCTATTAAGTGGCAGGCATGATGCTAACTATTTTGTATATATCGTATTTTATTAAACATGTCAGGTTTATTAATGTAAGAATTATGACTCCGGTTTTATGGGTGAGGCCATTGAAACCCAAGCTCTCCTAACTCAAAGTGGTTGTTTCATAGTTCAGACTGAGATGGGATTAACTGCAAAGTCTGTCTTTTTCACTAAGCCGTGTAGCTTCTTCCCTTGTCCCTTTTTAATCAATATTGCATGGATTGTTTTACAAGCAGTCTTGTATAATATTTTGGACTCTCACACTCTAACTTAATGTCATTTTTTAGAAGGTTTAAAAAATAAACTTTAGAGTACATTTAGAGTACTCTGTCATACAGGGACGCTATGAGTTGGAATTGACTTGATGACACAAAACAACAACATTCATCAATTACAAACAACGGAGAACATCTTTGTGTGCTGACATGGAAGTAACCTTAAGACATATTAAGTGAATTAAGTTACAGAAAAATCCTAATAGTGTGATACAGTTTGTGGAAAATCACAACCAAACTCAACTAGATTGTCTGTATTATTTAAGTATATATGTACGTTTTGGTGTATGCATGTATAAAAAGCTGCAAAGGAAGTATAAATGAATGACATTAAACCTGGATGAACACCAATGTTCATTGCAGCATTATTCAGCATAGCTAAAAGGTGAAAACAACTGTACTGTACCCTTAAACTGGTAACAGCTATTTCCTCTGGGAAATAGCTGGAGATGGGCAGTGGCAGGCACTGGGAGCTTTGCTTTATCTGTATTGTTTGATTTTTTTAAACAATATAAATGCATTTAGTTAACATAAATTAAAAATATGTTAAATAATCATTCAAGAAGTGTTACTTTTTTAGTTAGAAATCATTTATAAAATCCTTCAATGTAATTTGCCATTTTGGAAATTCTGCCAGTCAAAGTCCATTTAAAGGCTTGCTGATAGAAATTGTGTTTTCACTGAAAATATCTGCTAGCTAAAATAATGATCAATGGTGAGAAGTCACCTGAATAATTAAGTCAGTTCACCAACTAAACTTGTTTCTCCATTCCCAAAATTCTTAGATTAATGCAAACCCTGTGTTCTTTAAAGAGCTTACACAAAGCATTCCTATGTGTCTAACAATGTCCTCCCAGGGTTTTTGGGAAGGGGAATTAGAGTTTCTCTGTGTCTATCCAGTTATCTGATATTTCTTTTTACATAGTGAGCTCTTGTGGCTTGGTTTTTTAGCTTCTTTTTGTTGGAAATTTAATTGATACTGTTTCAAGTTATTTTCCTACTAAGTAACATATTGTATTTGTACTTGGTGTAATTTGTGTATACATTTTATGTTGCATTTAATGAAAACACAGGGACCCTATCATGGCTTGTTTTTTTTGGTTTTATTCTTAATTAATATAGTCACTATATATTGATGATTCCATTCATTGGAGCAAAATTTATTGTGAGAAGATAAGATCAACTTTATGATCTTTTTATTTCTTACCTCAATTGGAAGCATTTTGCTATGGGAAGATATTGCTATCCTGAGTCAAAGAAGTTACTACGTATTTTTATGCTTGACAGACTTTAAATATTCAGGAATTTATTTGAAAATAAACTTTTTTTTGACTATTGAGTTAAAAATAACATTTAAGCATGTTCCCAAGGTGAGGTACGTCTCTTGTATGATGCAATTTATGTTATTCCTATAATGGAGCTCTGTTAGTGAATGTTTGAGACTGTATGTTCGTACAATGGTAGATAAACCACTGAGAAGCCAAGACTTTGCTCATATCCTTGTTTCATCCATCAGAACCATCCTGAAGTATGGGTGAAATAATTTAGGGATAGCATTCAATATCACTTTTGGCTGATGTTTCAGAAATGCAGATGACATCTTCTGTGTCTGAATTTTTTGGGTTGGAAGTGTCTTCTAGATAATGTTTTCAGCTGCATAGACTGTTCAGTGATTCAAATTTTAGAGAATGTAATTCCATGAAGCCACTGGCAATATCATCAAGTCTACCACCAACTTTATTGTCACTGTTTTTGCATGTTTCGGTTAGGTACCAAAACCCGTTGCCATCGAGTCAATTCCGACGCATAGTGACCTTGCCTCATAGAGTTTCCAAGGAGTGGCTAGTAGATTCAAACTGCCAACCTTTCAGTTAGCAGCTGAGCTCTTAACCACTGTGCCACCAGGGCTCCCCTCTTAGGTACACAGCCTGAAATTTTAGCCAGTTTTCTTTTATTTATTTTCCTCAAAGAATGCTATTCTGTTTGTGGGGGCAGTGTCAAAATAGTATAAATTTTCCCATGCTTAGAAATCTAAGTTAACAGTGACATTTTCGTTTTGTTTTTTAGAGCATCAGGGCATCAGGCCTTATCCTATTGGAAACAATCCTTTTTGGGTCTCTGCTTCTGTACTTTCCGGTGAGTAACATAATTGTATTTTAAAAGTAGCCATTTATTTTATCTTACTTAAGTAGTATTTTATATATATGTATGTATGTTTGTATATGTATATATATATGGCTTTATAGACATGTACATTCTGGCTCTAACCAATAATAAATGTTAGTTATTTAACATTTCTCAACCTTGGCTTCCTCTTGTAAAATGGAGATAATTATACTTTTCTTCCCAAGTATGTGAGTAAGGTTAAATGTTTCATGTGAGATAACATATGAAATCCATTCTTGGTATGTATGTTTCATATGTATACATGCATACACATGTAAATATTAATTTCCTTTTTTCCCTCTCTACCTAAATCAGAACCATGAAACACATCAACTAGTTAATGCTGGAAAATTCCGGTGTGAAAGACCGTAATGGTTACATAGAAAAATAAACATAATAAAATAAAGGTATCTGTGGTATTAGTGGTTTATATAACCGTAGTAGACTCTTCGTATCACACTAGTATCATGTTTGTATGCACTTCATGAATTTCACTCCATTCAGTTAAACCAACTTGTATTCATGAGTTATATGTGCCAAGCACTATGCTAGTTCTTGGGGATATTCTGTGAGCAAGGTGAAATTGAGCTCTCTTAAGAAATTTATGATTTAGAGGAGGAGACAAATAAGTACAGGCAATAATAATACAATATGATAAATGCTAAGCCAGTAGGAAGGCAGGGACAGGATGCTGTTGGAGGCATGTACAAGATACACCTAACCAAGTCTAGGGAATTAAAATATCACTTGCCTAAAATTGATAACATGAATAGGTGGTAGGGAAGGAAAAAAGTAGAGCTGCCAGGATACCCTGTTCTTTTTGGTTTTCCTCTTACCTCACTAGGTGCTCCATCTCCGTCTTCTCTGCTGATTCTTAATCTTCTTTCTCACCTCTTAACACTTGAGTGCCTCACTACTCAGTCCTTGTACTTCTTCTTAATCTATACTCTCTCTCTCGGTGATCTCATCAAGCCTCATAGCTTTAAATAGTATTTATATGCCAGTGACTCCCAAATTTGTATCTCCAGACCTTTCCTCTGAACTCCAAACTCATATATATATTCAGCTGTTTTATTTGACATCTCCATTTGAAGGCCCAGTGGTATGCCCTGTCAGGTTTTTAACTGAGCTCCCCATCTCTTTCACCCCCAGATTCAAAGTCTCCCCTTTCCATTGATGACAACTCTGTCCTTCAAGTTACTCAGGCCAAAAATCTTGTAGTCATTTTTGACACCTTTCTTTCTTTCACATTCATCAGAAAATCCTTCAAAATATAGCAAGAATTGAACTGTTTCTCACCATGTCCACTGCTACCACCGTGGTGTAAACCATAGTCAGTATCTTTTCTGTATTATTGCTATAGTCTCTTTATTCCCACCAACCCACCACCTGATTGCCTCCTACCATCTATCTATTTTCAAAATAGCAGTGAGCTTTAATACCAAAGTTAGACTATGTCACTCCTCAAAATTTTCAAATAGTTTGCCATTTCTTTTACAGTAAAAGCCAAAATCCTTATAATTTGGACAGTGCCCCTCCATCACCTCATTTCCTAATCCTATTCCCTCACTCAATGTTTACAAGTGTTCTTGAGCAACCAAAGTTACAGACTCACAATATTATCTTGAAAAATAATTTTAGTAATCTGAATATCTATTGTTGCTACTATCATCTTTTTCCTGAACTTCTGTCCTTTTCTACCCAGGAGTCAGAGGGATCTTTAAAAATATCGAATCTAATCAATTACCTTTTCTGTTTATTGCCAGTGTTCTTAGAATAAAAATCAAAGCTTTTGACACAGCTTGTGATATTCTGTATAGTGTGGTCCTTGTCCACCTCGCCAGCCTCATCTCATACCATCTTATCTTCACTTTTCCTACCTCAGCAACTCTGAAATAATTCTTTCAGTTCTCAAATATTATGCCTTTTGTGGTAAACGGAATAATATCCTCCCCTCTAGAGATATTTATGTCTTAATCACTGGAGCCTGTGAACATATTACCTACATGGAAAAAAAAAAAACCAGAAAACAAAACTCATTGTCATTGAGTTTATTCCAACTCATGACGACCGCATGTGTTACAGAGTAAAACTGCTCTATAGGGGTTTCTTGGCTATAATCTTTACGGAAGCAGATCCCTAGGCCTTTCTCCTGTGGCACTGCTGGGCAAGTCTGAACTGTCAACCTTTAGGTTAGTAGTTGTCTTAGTCATCTACTGCTACTATAACAGAAATACTGCAAGTGAATGGCTTTAACAAACAGAAGTTTATTGTCTCACAGCCTGGAAGGCTAGAAGTCCAAATTCAGGACTCCAGCTCCCAGGGAAGGCTTTCTCTCTCTGTCAGTTCTGGGGGAAGGTCCTTGTCATCAATCTTCCCCTGGTCTAGGCACTTCTCAACACAGGGACCTCAGATCCAAAGGACACCCTCCACTCCCGGATCTCCTTTCTTGATGTAGGAGATCCCTCTTTCTTTCTGCTCACTTCTCTCTTTTATATCTCCAAAGAGATTGACTCAAGATACAACCTAATCTTATAGACTGAGTCCTGCCTCCTTAACATAACTGCCTCTAATCCTGCCTCATTAACATCATAGAGGTAGGATTTACAATACATAGGAAAATCACATGAGATGGCAAAATGGTGAACAATCACACAATACCAGGAAGCATGGCCTAGCCAAGTTGATACACATTTTGGGGAAACACAATTCAATCCATAACAGTAGTCAAGTGCAAACCATTTACTCCACGCAGGGACTTCACATGGAAAAAGAAACTTTGCAATGTGGTTAAGTTAAGGACCTTGAAATTGGGAGGTTTTCCTGGATTACCTGGGTAGGCCCAAGGTAACCACAAGAGTTCTAAGTGAAAGAAGGAAGCAGAAGAGAGAGACCGAGAGAGACAGCAACGTGAGAAAGATTAGGCTGGCCATTCCAGCTGTGAAGATGAACAAAGGCGACCACAAACCAAGGAATGCAGGCAGCCTCTAGAAGTTGGAAAAGAGGAGGAAAAAGATTCTTTCCTAGAGCCTGTAGAAGGTAACACTGCTCTGCTGATGCCTTGATTTTAGCTCTGTAAAACCCATTTCAGACTTCTGACCTCCAGAACTGTAAGATAATTTGTGTTGTTTTGAGTGACCAGGTTTGTGGTAATATGTTACAGCAGCAATAGGAAACTTACTATGGGATCTTTGCAAGTTTTTCCTTTGGTTTTGAAGAGTCTTCCTGGCTTTCTTCCCTCTACGGATCCTTTTGCCTAATTAATATCTAGATATCCTTTAGATTTCTGTGTAAGCATCACTTTTTCAAGAAAACTTTTCCTGATCCTCAGTCTGAGTCAAATTTCTTGCAATAATTTCTTCTGGAATCCCGTTCCTTTTCTTGATAACACCAATCTTGTTTTATAATTATACAATCAAAAGTGCAATTATTTTTTTTATTGTTGTAATTAAATGAAGTTTACATTTCAAGTTAGTCTCCCATACAAATTTTTTTTTACATACATTGTTATGAGACCTTAATTGCTCACCCCGTTCTACAACAGCACACTCCTCTTTTCCACCCTTGATTCCCCATGACCATTCAACCAGCTCCTAACTGGTTGCCTTCCCATCTCACCTCTGGACAGAAGCTACCCCTTTGGTCTCTTGTATCTACTTCACTAAGAGGCACACTCTTCGCGAGTATCACTTTATGTCCCACAGTCCAGTCCAATCCCTGTCTGAAGAGTTGACCTCGGAAATTGTTTTAGTTCTGGTCTGATAAGAGCGTCCAGGGGCCATGCTTTCCAGGGCACCTCCAGTCTCAGTCAGACCATTAAGTCTGCTCTTCTTACTAGAATTTGAGTTCTCCACCCCATCCTTCTACTGCTCCATCAGGGACCGTCTGTTGTGTTTGTTCCCTGTCAGGACGTTCATTGGTGGTAGCCAGGCACCATCTAGTTCTTCTGGTCCAGGCTGATGAAGTCTCTAGTTTATGTGGCCCATTCTGTCTCTTGGGCTAATATTTTCCTTGTGTCTTTGGTATTCTTTGTTCTCCTTTGTTCAAGTGGTTGGGACCAATTGATGCATCTTAGATGGCTGCTTGCAAGCTTTTAAGACCCCAGACACCACTCACAAAAGTAGGATGCAGAACATTTTCTTAATAAGCTTTGTTATGCCAATTGACATAGATGTCCCCTGAAAGCATGGTCCCCAGACCCCACCCATCCCTGCTACTCTGTCTCTAGAAGTATTTGATTGTATTGAGGAAACTTCTTAGATTTGGTTTAGTCCAGTTGTGTTGACTTCCCCTGTAGTGTGTGCTGTCCTTCCTTTCACCTAAGATGATTCTAATCTACTATCTACTTATTGAATAACCCTCACCCTCCATCCCCACCCCCGTAACCATCAAAGAATGTTTTCTTCTGTGTTTAAACCTTTTCTCGAGTTCTCATCATAGTGGTCTTATACAGTATTTGTCCTTCTGTGACTGATTAAATTCATTCAGCATAATAAGTTCCAGCTTCCACCATGTTATACGATGTTTCACAGCTTCATCGTTCTTTGTCTTTGCGTAATATTCCATTGTGTGGATATGCCATAATTTGTTTATCCATTCGTCCGTTGATGGGCACCTAGGTTGCTTCCATCTTTTGGCTATTGTGAACAGTGCTGCTATGAACATGGGCGTGCATATATCTATTCGTGTGACGGCTCTTGTTTCTGTTGGCCATATTCCAAGGAGCGGGGTAGCTAGATCGTATGGTACTTCTATTTGTAGCTTTTTAAGGAAGTACCAAATCAATTTCCAAAGTGGTTGGACTATTTTACATTCCCACCAACAGTGTATAAGTGTTCCAGTCTCTACACAACCTTTTCAGCATTTATTATTTTGTGTCTTTTGGATTAATGCTAGCCTTGTTGGGGTGAGATGGTATCTCACTGTAGTTTTGATCTGCATTTCTCTGATGGTTAATGATCGTGAGCATT